ATCATTTCTCCCTCTAATTTCAAAGGTAATGGGGCGCCTGGGTGGCTCAGTGGTTGAAGCCTCTGCCTTTGGCTCGGGTCATGGTCTCGGGGTCCTGGGATCGGGTCGTCCCGTGTCGGGCTCTCTGCTCAGCGGGGAGCCTGCTTCCTCCTGTCTCTCTCTGCCTGCCTCTCTGCCTACTTGTGGTCTGTCTGTCAAATAGATAAAAGAGAATCTTAAAAAAAATTTTTTTCAAAGGTAATTATCATCATCTTTAGGTACCCATTAGGTTCTTAGCTTGTAACCCTTTGCGCTTTAAAACTCTATAATCTGTAGGGCTGAAACCTGTGTGGAATAGGTATGGAGTAAATGTTTGATGATGATGAAAGACATGTGTAAGGAAGATTAATTTGGCAACAGCATATGGCCTGAATTGGAAAGAAGAAAGCCAAGAGGTAGAGAAATCATGAGGACGTTGTTCCAGAAATATAGGCGTGAAGGAAGTAATGGGGAAGAAACAGATATGAGAAAATACTTAGGAAGTAGAGTTCAAAGAAACTGAGCCAATTTGAATGTGGAGTGGGTTAAAAATTAATTTAAGTCTTCAAGTCCAAGTCTTTTGAAGAGCCATGATGCCACTCAGGTAAGATGGAAAAATCGGGAGAGAGAATTGGTTTGGGGGAATAAGGCGAAGAATATAGTTTTAAACAGGATCCAAGATGATGACAGGACATTCATTTAGAAATGGCCTAGGAATTTGGCTAGGTGAGAGTGAAGTGACTATGTAGAAACAGGGCTGAAGTATTATTATTATTTTATTCACTTCAGCAGGTATTCACAGAGGCACTACTATGTGCTAAGGGCTGTGAGTTGTGGAATTAAATGAGGCAGAAACCTTGAGGAATTAATGTAATGGGGGAAAACAGATGTGTGAAAGGGAATATAAAGTCTAATGTAGTAAGTGTCCAGAGGAGATTATATCCCGAGAAAGTGAATTAAATAGTACCTATTAGTGACACAAATTGCCCACTAGAGAAAACTGGAGAGTCTATGAAAGTATCCATAGGTAGCTTCTTCTGTTAATTTTTCCTGCTCTGCGTCCCGTTACTCTGGTCACAAGTGTCCGGATTTTGGATTGGCCTCCAAGTGGAGGCAATCCTCTCTAAGCCAGGCATAAAGAAGATCGACCACCAATGAGGTGGCCCGTCAGGACAACTGTGTCCTGTAACAGCCCTTCTTATTGCATAGTGAATGACAGATACATGTCGATGCTCTTGCTTGGGATGTTTTAAACGTAAGTTGCAGAGAGCAGAAGATGGCAGTACAAGTTGGGACCATATATGAGAAAGAAGCAGAGAGATGCTGATTCAGGAGAATGGCAAAAGTATTAGAGCATGGGCAATAGATGCCTGTCAATGAGGGAATGAGCCGGGCACCAGAGCCTGTTGCAGGATCATAAGAACTGCCGTTGATTTCTGGAATCAACAGTAGTTCTGGCTGATGATGTGTTTTTCTAGTTTCCTTATTTCCTGAAAATAAACCCTCAGCATTCGCAGTGCTCTGAACATGTCCTGGCACTTTAGATCTCACAAGAGCCCAGCTAGCACAAAGGAATTTCTGTTGTTTGGGCTTTCATTATGTCTGCAGAAAAGAGTATCTTGTGAAGGATAGGTCAGTATGATCTTCATAAAGCATGATCAAAAGGACATTCACAAGGGCACGTGTGTATGTGGCTGCCTTCCCAGAAGAGTGTAGCGGTAGAGGGCAAAAACCTCAGTTACATCTTAGAGCAAACCTCGAATCCTCAAGTTTATACTTTTGTGCTATTCCTACTCTCTTTTCCCAGCATGATCACAGTGTAGGTCTGTGGGCTTGTCCTTGGGGAGAGCAGAGAAATGGAGAGCTATGGAGACTATTCAGTGCAGGCACCAAGTTTAAAGAAGGAAACCCCAGAAGACAGTAGACAGTGTAGCTGCAAAGAGCCTTGTGTCAAGATCAGAGTTTCTTAGTGTACAGCATGCAAACCACCAGTTTAGGATCACCTGATTTGTTAAAAATGAAGATTTCTAGATCACCTTGCCCCAGCTGAATAGAATCTCTAAGCGAGGGTCCTAGGAACTTGCATTTATGTAAGTATGCAAGGCGCTTCCCTTGGAGATCCGCCCCTATGAGCCCTGTGTCAAGGAAAGATAGAGAATGCTTGTTTATTAGAAAGTACTCAGGACTGAAGGGTGGCAAAGTTTGGCACAACATATGCATACATTGCTGTAGGAGTGAAAAAGAAAGAGAGAAGGTGTGTGAGCTCAAACTGAAGGATAGGGTGAGCAGAAGAGAGAGTGGGATGCAGGTTTGCTCTGGGAATCATGAGCTCAGATGATAATTGAGACCACGGAGATGGATTAGGTTTCTGCTAATGCCAGAATTTTAACAATCAGCATAAAAGTGCTATATAAAGCTCTCCCCCCCCCTTTATTATAGTCCTTGTAAGATTTATGGAGCACCAACTACAGGGAGAACATTGTATTAGCAGCTGTCAAAGAGAACAAGAGCTTATCATGTACTCAAAGTTGGACAAAATAAATCTGTAGTTTATATTTAAGAGCGACTACAAAGCAACATCCAAATAAGTCCAAATTCATTCACTTAACAAAAACTCATTGTATCCATTATGTGCAGACACTTTCCTTGACTCCACAGGGTGTGGTTATCAGAAGGTGACCTGGGTAAGTTTAAAGGCAGATTTTGAACGAAAGTAAAAACAGAATACTGAGAGGTTAAGGCACTCTAAGCAAGGATTTAGAGTCACAGAGTTCAGAGAGAGGGTACATAACTTCATTCAACATTCCATAAATATTTATTAAGTACCTATTGTGTTGTAGACACTGGAAATATAGCAGTAAGTAATAGACAAAAATCCCTGCTGTCCTGGAGCTTAATATTCTGGTGGGAGAAAGACAAGAAAGCACAATAAATAAGTTATATAGCATATTAGAAAATGGTGTTTTGGAAAAAATAAAACAGGAAGAGAGGATTTGGCAGCGGGGGGGGGGGCAGGGATAGATACAGTATCAAAGATGATCTTTTGGGAATAACTCATTGGAAGGAGATGTTTCTAAGTCTCCTATAATATTTGTAAGTGTCAGGAAGATTTATGACTATGTAGTGGACATACGTTCTGTTAGAGGCAGCAAGTGCAAATTCCCCCACAAGAAGCCTGCCTGGCATTTTCAATAACAGCCAGGAACCTGTGTGTGTGTGTTTGTGTGTTTAAGTGAGGAAAGGGGTAATAGGATAGAGTTCAGAGACAAAAGGGGTGAGGGGTGTTACATAATCTAAGGCGGTAAGTCTTGGAGATTTTTCCTTTTTCATTAAGTGGGATGGGAGCCACAGGCAGGATGGGAAACTCTAGAGCTGGGAGCAGAGGAGTGAACGTGATCTGACATGGATCCTTCAATTCAGCGGGGTGAACTTGGGCCCAACTTTTCACCTCTCTAAATTTGTTTTCTCATCTGTAAAGTATTGGAAAGGATTCATCCTAAGGTTGTTGTGATGATTAAATAAGATGATATGTTCAAAAGATTTAGCAAGTACTTGACACAGAGTAGGGACATTCTTTTCCCTTCCCTGTCTTCCACTTCCTCTCTTCTGTCTCTTCCACTTGGTACCAGGTGCTAGGAGAGAAAGACCAGAATCAGGCTTGCAGGTGACAGCCCACCTAAGGGGTAGGAAGAAAAGGGTGACCATTGTTTTAGGGACTGTGTTAAATGACATAGTTGGGATTTAATATAATCGTTTGGGATTTAAATAATAGTTGGGATTATTAGTTTGGATTTAAAATAATCGTTTTATTGTGTTTTACCACGTGGAGTAGCAAGACAGAATCGGAAATACTCAGTCCTGTTAGATGCAGGTGCTGGTCTCCCAGGCCTCAACCTTGAAAACTCACCCAAACAATTTACTTCTCTAGGTAGTTTATTAGACTCTGGGTTATGCTAGCAGTTTTAATTGTTCTGTTGTTAGACGTGTTAACTCCCTGAACGTTAACTGATTAATCTCAGTCTTCTAATTAATGTTTGAGTGATTCTCCTCAGGTCTAAACTATCAAGGGCACTTCTACTTAAACACAGTTTATCTTCTGTTTGTGCCCTCATGGGCAATAGGTACATTTGAGGTCGCTGTTTAGAAAGACCTGCGATGACTTCAAAACATCCATAAACACAAAACAAAAAACAAGACAGAACTCCTCCCCGTTGAGATTAATGATGAAAGCCTGTGTCGCGTCTGTTTGGGCTTGGGGCTAGGTTCCCAAGCCCCAGAGCGTTAAGGCCGGTAATCACCAAGCCGTGGTCAGAAAGCCCCTGGGTGGGGAACTCTCTGCCCGACGTCTCAAGTCACCGAAGTCGCCTCCCACATTTGGTGACTGCTGTTTATTTACTCGCAGTAAATGACAGTAAATGAACGTGCACGAGTGCAGCCGACCCCGAAGGGCGGCGGATTTCCCGCGGCTTCTCCCAGGAGACCCGGAGCGGGTGCGGCAGGGTAGCTCCCGGAGTCCCTGGCGTGCGCGCAGCCCAGCGCCCCGCCGCCGGGGTGCGAGTCTGCGGCCGCGGGCTGGGCTCTGCGGCGAGAGTCCGGAGGCGGGCCGCCGCGTGGGTCCCGCGGTCCCTCCTCCCCGCCCCGCCGAGGCGCCGCCCAGACCCCCCCCTCCCAGCTCCGCCGGCCCGGCTCCCCCACTCTTCGCCGCCCGCCACCCGGTTCCCCAGCCAGCCCGGCCCCCGCGCCTCCTCCGCTGGCTCGGCCCGGCCCCCTCCTTCTCCCCGGCGGCGCTCGCAGGCTCGCTCTCTTCCCTCTTCCCACACCACCCTCAGCCGCTCCCTCCCCGCACGCCGGTCTGGAGAGGAATCGAGCGCCGCGCGCATCGATAGCTCTGCCCTCTGCGGCCGCCCGGCCCCGAACTCATCAGTGTGCTCGGAGCTCGATTTCCCTAGGCGGCGGCCGCGGCGGCGGAGGCACAGCGGCGGCGGCGGTGGCGGCGGCGGCGGTGGCGGCTGCCCGGCCAGTACTCCCGGCCCCCGCCATTTCGGACTGGGAGCGAGCGCGGCGCAGGCTCTGAAGGCGGCGGCGGGGGCCAGAGGCTCGGCGGCTCCCAGGTGCGGGAGAGAGGTACGGAGCGGACCACCCCTCCTGGGCCCCTGCCCCGGTCCCGACCCTCCTCGCCGGCGCCGGGCGGGGCCGGCGGCGACTGAATGAATTAGGGGTCCCCGGAGGGGCGGGGAGGGGGTGCGGGCGCTGAGCGCCTGCGGGCGAACGGACCGGGTGGGGGTGTCTGCAGGGGGAGGCGCGGGGACGCGGCTACGAGGGGAATGAGGAATGGGCGGTGCGGGGCTGGGGAGGGTGAGGCTAGAGGCGGCCGCCGCTTGTGCTGCTTCCTGGACGGGGAACCCCTTCCTTCCTCCTCCCCGAGAGCCTCGGCTGGAGGCGGCCGGGGAGAAACTCGCGGGCTGGGCGGGCTGCCCCTCGGGGCGGTCGGGTGCGGTGGAGGTTACTCCCGATGCGTTCCGATCTCCCCTCCCCCTCGTCGTCCTCTCTCTCTTTCTCTCTCTTTTCTCTCTCTCCCTTCGCTCCCGCACCTCTTCCTCCCTTCCCAGCCCTCGGCTGTCTCGGTTACTGCCTTCTCTGCTGCATTTAGCATCCCTAGGACGAAGGTATAAACTTCTCCCCCGAGCGCAACTGGACGGGTAGTGGTCCTTTTCAGTGTGTAGGGGCGTATACGAGTAATAGGAGAGGTCATGTTTTGGAAGAGGCTAGGAAAGTGCTTAGAGACCACTGTTTGTGGTTATTGTGTTTGGAAAAAATGCATCTGCAGCCGAGTTCCTGACTGCTCCCCTCCCCCATGTATGGGCTGTGACATTGCTGTGGCCACAAAGGAGGAGGTGGAGGTAGAGATGGTGGTGGAAGAACAGGTGGCCAACACCCTACAACGTAAAGCCTGTGACTTAGTGAAAAGGAAAAAGTTAATCCCAGAAGGTCTCTTTTGCTTTGTCAAGTTAAAACACACACCGAAAACCCGCAGAGCAGAAGCAGGGCTTTTTCCTTGCTAGTTGAGTGTAGACAGCAATAGCAAAAATTGTACTTAAAGTTTAATTTGCCTGTTCTTGTCCTTTCCCCTATCTCTTGTCTGTTACCTTTATCCTTACAAATTTGACCCTCCCATCCCAAGAGTTATTATGGTACTCCTAAATAGCATTTAAACATTTTTTTTTTTCAAACTGACTAGCAAGAGGAGTTAATTGTAGCAGTCTTCCAGCCAACTGCCTGAAATACTCCTAAGCATGTGCATGCTTTAGCTGAAGTCCTAAGCTAGCCTTCTTAAATTTTGACATTTATCAAAATAAGGGTTAAAACAGAAAAGCATTTTCTTACAATATTCATGTTATGTTTGTAATGGAAAAAAATTACAAAGAAATTACAAAGGGAGAAATTCAATCATCATCTCAGAATCAACCATATGAGTGATGTCACTCTTAGGTGACTAAGGTCCAAAATGCTGACTCGACCATGAGATAGACTATAGATATCAAATATGGTTGATACCATTATTATTTACTTTGATACTGTAGCCATGGACAGGCATACCTGATTTTAAGAGACCATAGATGAGAGGATAATTCAGTTTTACGAGAAAAGTGGTTTTCTTTTTCCCTTAACTGAATGTTCGGTTCTAGTCCCACTTTACCCCTCCATAGCTATTTTAGCTTTGGGTGAGGGAGCTCTTTCTGGTCTATGATCTTCAGTAAGACTCCTTGGAAACCCAGTTCTCTTCAGTGGATTTAAATATTAGTTGGTTTATAAAATCCAATTCAGGGATTTTTTTTTTTTCCCCCAGAAACAACAGCTGCATAAACAGGTAGACCAGAAGGTGTGTGTGTCTCAGAACTCACACAGTTAAGCTGTAATCTCGTATCTGTCCACAGTATCTCTTAGGCTAGCAAACTTTATAGTTGCAAGGACATCTTATACTCTTGAAAATTATTGAAGATCCCTATATGGGGTATGTCAGTATGTACCATAATACAAATTAAAACTGAGAATTTTAAAAATTGATTAATTCCTTTAAAAATAGAAATAAGCCTATTGATAACATAATAGCATTTTTATGAAAACTTGTTTTTCAAAACAAAAATTAGTGAGAATAGTGGCTTTGTTTCACATTTTTGCTAATCTCTTTAACTATATTGCTTAATAGAAGACATGTGCATATCTGCTTCTGTGGTCACTCTATTGTGATCACATCTGGAAAACTCTACACTCATTAATGAATAAGAGTGGAAAGGGTAAATAACATTGCTGTAGTAATGGTATTATTAGTATTATTGATTTTGGCCTCTTGGACCCCCCCAGGAATGCTCCTGGATTCCTGGACCATAGTTTGATAACTACTGTTCTAGGCTCCCCAAATTGTTTTAGGTGATGGGTTAGGCGGGGAGCCAGAGTACATTTTGGTGTGATTCTCCTCATTGTTCCCCATTTCCTATGGCCTCTATTTGGAATAAAAGGTGGGAGCGATCAGGATAAGATACATGCTTGGAGAGGCTCCCAAGGTGGCCTGGCAAATAGGGCTAGGTGGCACAGAATAAGCCAGGGGGCTGTAATGTAATAGTCTTTGATAGGACAGTTGTCTAGCCTGTTCTTTGTGAGAAGACTCAGGAATAGTGTAAGGAGGTAAGGGTTAGTATATTATCATTTGGAAAACCATATTACCTTTCTTTGGGGCGGTGGGGGATGCTATTTGGATTCTTGGTCTTCAGTTAATAGGATACTGCATGCACTGTAGTGTTCATATTTGCACATTCATTAATTTAGAATAACTTATCCTGTAATTATTGTGTACTTACTGCCATTCTTTGTGCAGTTCTGTCCTTATTTTTAGTAATGTGGTTATTGGGGGAAAGAAGGTAAAATTTAAAAAAATCACTTTATTTCAAAACATTTGAAACAGCTGATTAAAAAATATTTTCTGGGGGCGCCTGGGTGGCTCAGTGGGTTAAGCTGCTGCCTTCGGCTCAGGTCATGATCTCAGGGTCCTGGGATCGAGCCCCGCATCGGGCTCTCTGCTTAGCAGGGAGCCTGCTTCCCTTCCTCTCTCTCTCTGCCTGCCTCTCTGCCTACTTGTGATTTCTGTCTCTCAAATAAATAAATAAAATCTTAAAAAAAAAAATATTTTCTGTCTTGAGCAGTCAACCTTACAAGTTGCCAGTACTTATTGCAGTTGTTGAGAGACTGTACAAGAAGCAGAGAGTAAGTCGCTGAGAAGTATCCACTTACAGCTTTTCAAAATCCCTCTCATTAAAAGCAGTGCATATCTTTAAATTTTATATAATTATATCTTTTTGGTGCAAAGTGTTTTTTTCAGCACTAACATAGGATTACATAGTGTGACAGATGATGAAATCATCCATACTGAATAGTTCAAAATTCTTAAAATTCTCTTAGTTTTTATACACCATTATTTTCCCCAGCAGATATTTTACAGATTGAAATGTTATCAAATCTGCTTTGGTGTCTCAATGTTCATTTCCCCACTACATAGTCCATCTTTATGTGACAGTCTTCTCTTCACCCCCATCTGACTCTTGTTAACTTCAGGAGAACGACTGTGATGATGCTTTTAAAAAGTTTTCTATAGCTGTTGGCTCTGACAAAAGCACTCAGCATATCCACTTGTAAGTCTTAGGGGCCAGAGTCAACTAGGAATACTGTAGAGGTGGCTGTCAACAAGTTTAGTGTGGGTGTGTCCACAGGGTATAGACACTTGTACTGAGTGAAGTCCTAGCGTGTTCCTCTGAGAGCCGTTAACTGCTACAGAGCAGCAGACTGGCTGTTCAGATAGAACAACCTGAATGTACGATAAAAGAACTTTGTACTTTGAATGCATTCTTCTCAAACGTTGTTGGGGGAGTTTGTAAATGAAATGCAGTTCATTACAATACTCATCTGCAGTCAACTGAAGTTTTCATCTCTGAATTTTGCGAAGCATTTTGGAATAATTTTTTTGTGTAAAGGTGAATTTGTGTTAAAAGGTTTTGATACGGTGGGTTATATTAATTTCATGTTCTAATTTATATTAACCACATGTTCTAATTTAGTCACATTTTCATTATTTTTATTATAAGGCCTGCTGAAAATGACTGAATATAAACTTGTGGTAGTTGGAGCTGGTGGCGTAGGCAAGAGTGCCTTGACGATACAGCTAATTCAGAATCACTTTGTGGATGAGTATGATCCTACAATAGAGGTAAACTTTATTTTAATATTATGCATATTGATTTGTGCAGGCCCATTCTTTGGGTACAAAAAGGAGGTTTCTCTGATCATTTTTTACGACTACCCATTACAAGCAATTATACTGAAAATGATTTTACTAAGTTCTCTGAAATGTACTTGTGTCCCTTGGCTTTATTCTGAAGTTATATATGCAACTAGAGATACGGATAGCCCTTATTCTCACTAGAGTATTAAGATGTATAACATTCATTCTGTGTTAGTATATGTGTTTTTTGATTGTAAGTGTATTTCAGAGTTTTGTGAGAGGGTAAAAATGTAAATTCACATCTTAGGTAGACAGTCATTTAAAAAAATGGTCTTATGGTTGTTGCTTGCTTGTTTGCTATTTTAATGTCACATTCATAAGTTATAGTTGAATTGTACCAGTAAAATGTAATCATTTGGTGGTTGGTTTGGTTTTTTTTTAAACATTTAATTAGTAGCATTTTCCTGTTTTATTTTCACATTGAAGTAGGGGAGAACCTACAGCTACTTGATACATTTTAAAATCTCATTCTTTGTGTATTTTTATCTCTATCTATATCAGGTGGTATATAATGGTACCACTATCAATCCTTACCTTTGCTTTGCAGCCCTCTTTTAACTTACTCAAATGTTAGAATTTCTTTTATTACAGATTGATTAATGAATAATTTTTAAACTTTTTTAATTTCATAAAAAATTGCCAAAGTAAAGGCCAACAGCAAAATGATAGAATAAAGGCCTGCGAGAGACCCTGAGTGGTCACATACTACTTTCTGCTGCCTTCTGGCAGCACTGTACTTAAATTATCTCAAGCAGATAAGGATTTATTTAATCCTAAAGACCTGCAGGAGGGGATGGCACATCACTGTCCTTGTTAACTCACTTCCAGAATGTAATTATGAATGTATTTTATACATAATCTGAATATCCATATTAACTGTAACATCGGTGGAGATAGAAATAAATACAGCACCTGTCTTTGAAATAGACTTATGTTGTTAGATTATTTCTTAGACTTCGTTACCCCAGGTTAAGCAGTCCTAATCCCTTAGTTTTTATTTTGGATCTGCAGATCATATCATTTTTTTTAATCAGCTCTGAAAAATTTCCCAGAACTTTCTCTGAGTCTCTCCTTGTGGAATCTAAAACAGGTTAAGATGCCCTGTTAAGGGACAATGCTGTATGATGTTTTCAAGAACACTTTGACTGCATTGAGGTAGATTCTGAGGGCACTGGTGGCCATGGCAAGATATTTATACAATTAGAACTTTGAGGATTGAGTAAACAGCTTCATAAGGAAATATCAAATATTTTGGTACTGCAGGAAAAAAAAACCACTTATTTGCAAAGATTTGATTTAAACCTAGCCAGCTTTTATTTGGCATGAGTAAAGGGGAAGAGCTAACTGAAGTGGACCACCTGTACAGTAGTCTTCTGTATTTTCTCTTGGCAAGGCAGTTCAGTGCTATATGATGGGTTTTTTTTTTCCTCCTTTGAGGAGGATTAAATAGTTCACCCAGCTCGAAAACCAAGGTTACTTGACATAATCCATTTAAATCAGAAGTAAAAGGAAGTTTTAATAGAATTCAGGTTAGACACGGAAGTTTTCTTGGGATTTTGGAAGGTGATTTTAGCAGAAGTGCTCTCCGTTTCTTTGGAAGTCCGAGGGATTCCGTTACACTCGGTTTCCTATGTGCTATAGGAGATAATGTGATCAAACTTGTTAGGAAGTCTTTCTGTCCAACTTGCTAAAGTACAGTGTGGGTCTAAAATAAAGCCAAAAGTTAATCCTTTATTTTGAGTGAAGGTAGAAAAAGTTTATAAATTCAGATCCCTAGCTCTGATTATGATTTCTGCCAGACCTGAAGACTTGACTCTGGGGGAAGCATCAGTTACCTGTGAACTTTGAAACTTAGACATTCCCTCACCAGTGCAGCCATCTGGGAAAAGCTGTCAGAGATCATCTGTTGTCTTCCAAATTACAGTGAGTCTCAGGGAACTGACACATTAAATTCATGGTGTAGTTCAACTGCAAGAAAGACAAGATAATTTAGTAGCTTATTTTAAATAAACAGTGGTTAAGCAAAAATGTTGACTTGATGTTTTTATAAAGAGTTTAAAAAGGAGATGTGGGGATATCACTACTGCTATTAGGTTTTGATTGGTGAATAATGTAGGTCAGAGAGAAAATGAGGGAGCACATAGCCTGCACATTTGGAATTCTCATCAGTTTTCCTGCACTAAAACAAATGGGAAGGAATTTTTTTAAAAAATTAAAGAATATCATTTCTAGTGGTTTAGAATTTATAAAGATTTACCCTAGGAGAGAGATAAGGAAGGTGGTCATTTTTTCTTTCATTTTATGGATAAAAATGGTCTCTGAGAGGTTGTAACTTGCCTGAGAATACTTAGCTAGTAAATAGTGGACTTTTAAGTTTTCTGAGACCAAGTTAAGGGGAATTTCCACCTTGTACATACAACTTTAGAAATGAGAAATTAATCTTTAAGTTAAGAAGATATTTAATAATGGAGGCTGATTCAGATTTATCAATATACCAAAATTTGAACTTACCTTCCTCTCCAGTGGCATCTTAATAGCAGAGATATGATATAAAATTAAACAGGTGTGATGCATAGATAGAGCATGCTTATATTTGAGGCTGTGCACATGATAATCAACTTCTATTTTGAAACATTTTATTTTTATCTTTTGTGAAGTTCACCAAAGAGTTCCAGAGATAATGAAGTACGTTGTTCGTGGTGCAAGAATATTAAAAAGTCAAAGTAATCTCCAAGCACAATACCAGGCTAGATATAATATATGCTTTTATAGTTTAGAGATCATTTGTTATTAAAACATATTCTCTGAAATGTGTTTTCCAAGATAAAATTTGGCAGAAGGAGAAAAATCTTGTTTTAAAAAAATATAAGTAGTTACAGACATGGAGATCAGAATGATCATCTGATCGATTAGAAAATAGATATTGTGTATCTACTAGATTTAATATGCTAGTAAAAATAGATACAGAAAGATGTATTTTTTTTCAGGCTCCAATCCATTGACATTTGCATGCTTCTGTTAATGTGACACTTATAATTCAGTCTAAGTATTATGCCCTTCTTCAGTGAGTTTCCTACTCAGTAAGGATGATGGATTCTTGATTGGATTGATTTGCTCCATCTTTATTGCTCTGAGCTGTGGAGTATTTATTCAAGATTTACCAGTTTCTCTCTCTTTTTACTTCTTCATGTTAATTATGGAATTTATTTTACTTGCTGAATAAGGTGTAATAGCTAGAACATTTGTAGTATTAAGTCTTGAAGAATGGTGTGAGAAAAGCATTGTATAATGTTGAAAGCCATTATTTTTCTGGTTTCCTGCTTATGTACCAGTATAGTTATCAATGAGGGGTCGGTGGCTTTGTTTCCCAGGGGACATTTAGTAATATCTAGAGATATTTTTGGTTGTTACAGCTTGTAAAGGGGGACTGCTACTGGCATCTGTGGAGGCAGGGATGCTGTTAAGCTGCCTGCAGTATACAGGACCGCTCCCACAACCAATGAGATGGCCTCAAATGGCAGTAGTGCTGAGACCCTCCTCTGTGTTATATAAAGCTTTAAACATCTCTGTCAACTTCCAAGTCTCTGAATAAGGTTTATGCCAGATACTCTAACACAGCACAGATTTAAACTTTACCTTTTCTAAACTAATAGTATGTTATATGAGCTTATTCTAGCCTTCTGTTAAAACATTGTTTTTAAAATAAGGTACACAGTAATTTTGTAAATGCATTTCTCAAGGCTTTGGCCAGCTTCCCCACTTCCCCACCTTCAAGTGAGTGCCCTCTACTGGTCAATTTATTTGCTTTTATAATAAATAATGAAATACCATGTTTGGGTGTTTTCCTATTTAAACTGTGGGTATAATAATTTATAAATGTGTAAGTTTTATTTAAAAGTCTGATTTTATATAATTTTTAAAAATCTAAAGTGTCAGTTTTATTCTCTGCTTATATTAAGATTTCTGTGTGGGCTAGTTAGACCTAACTAATTAAATAGGTAGGTGAATTTTTTTTAAATTATTTATTTATTTATTTGACAGAGAGAGAGAGAGAGAGAGAGATCACAAGTAGGCAGAGAGGCAGGCAGAGGTGGGGGGGGGGGAAGCAGGCTCCCCGCCGAGCAGAGAGCCCGATGCAGGGCTCGATCCCAGGACCCCAGGACCATGACCCGAGTTGAAGGCAGAGGCTTCAACCCACTGAGCCACCCAGGCGCCCCGGTAGGTGAATATTTTTAACTAAGAAAGGAAATGTGGCGGTGAAGGAGAAAATAGGGTGGTTCGGTTGTTAACCCTGATTGAGATTACTTTGAGGAATAAAAAGTGACACTTTGACTCTGAATTTCTTTACATGTACACAGGAGCTACGCTATAGAGCTCAAAGCTTCCTGATGTGCTACATGGGATGTTAGGAAAGGGCCTATGGGAAAGTGGCAAATTGTGACAGTTAACATTGTGTAGATTTTTTTATATAGTACTGTAGAATAGTTGTGAACACCTGATTTTTAGAATAAAGTAACACAAAATTCAGGCCCTGTATTTAGGTCAGTCTAAAAGTAAGTATGTACTTAATAATAATAAGTGCTTATTTAGACCTGAATGTTAAAAATTATCCAACATGTTTTAGTCTTACTTGGATTTTTATGAATACAAAGCTTTACAAACATAGAAATGAAAGTTGGTGGCGGAAATAAGTGAAAGGAAAAGATGTTTTTATGATTTAGCATCTCTAAAGAATCTGGGTTTTTTTTTAAATACTTTTTTTTTTTAAGATTTTATTTATTTATTTGACAGAGAGAGATCACAAGTAGGCAGAGAGAGAGGGGAAAGCAGGCTCTCCGCTGAGCAGAGAGCCTGACATGGGGCTTGATACCAGGACCCAGAGATCATGACCTGAGCCAAAGGCAGAGGCCTAACCCACTGAGCCA